TAAAACTCACTTGATCACCAGATCAAAGTTGAGGCAGTCTGCTTCCAAAGGTCTACTGCCTTGGAAAGCCTATGGGGCAGTTGTACTCTGTCCTGTAGGGTCACTGTGAGTCGGAATCTACTTGATGGCAGTGGATTTGGTTTTGGGGGGTTCATCTTGAAAAGGCCAACAAGAGGGGTACTAGGATTATTAGCTGAGGTTAGTAGACACCAGGCTGTCTCACTGAGGCCTGCGTGTTTGTATTGTTTGCAGCCCTTGAGTAACCCTGGCTCCTATATGTCCACAGCTGTGCTTTTTATTCCTCTTCTTACAGGTGTTGACTCCAAGAAACTGAAACTGAATTGGGATAAATTATTTCCTCAGAAAAATGCACGCTCATAATATGATCGCACACCAGCTGACGCGTTCATGTTAAGAGCCTTTGGCCTTGGCTAAAGGTTACCTTTGGCGTTAGAAGGGAGGCTTGAAGGAACAAGGAACTTGCTGGGGAAGTGGAATATATTAACAGGGTTGGGACCAGAGTTAGGCTGAGGCCCGAGGCACACAATTTTAGGGGGCACCAAAAAACTCAGTTGTTGTTGTGAGTCGCTGTGGAGTCAGTTCGGACTCACAGAGCACCCATGTGTGCAGAGTAGAGCTGCTTCGCAGCGTTTTCAAGCCTGTAACTCTTCCCATGCAGGTCGCCAGGCCTGTCTTCTCAGGTGTCTCTGGGTGGGTTTGAACCGACAACCTTTGGTTAGTAATCAGGTGCTTAAATGTTTGTGCCAAATAATCATATATCAAAAGAAATGTAAAAAGTTCCTAGTGAAGAAAATTTTATATATGGAAGCAAACTTTCTTTATTAGTTACCAGGGGTGGGAGGGGAGGAGAGGGCACACTGTAGAAAAAATACACACAGAGACACAAACAAAAAAATGCATTGACCCATGTCACTTTAGTTTTCTGTGTTTCATTGTACAGAAATTATATTTCAATAAAATGTATTTTAAAAAAAAAGTTCCTAATGAAGAAAATATCAAAATCTGGCCCTGCACTGACACAACTCACCTCTCACCTACCCCAGCCCTGACTCTGTGTGTTGGTCTTAGTGGTGATCACACGGATCCATACATATGTAAAACTTAACCAAGCTCTCATTTAAAGTCTATGCACTTGACTTACGAAAATGACATCTCAATTCAAAAAGCAAAAATAAAGAAAGAAAAACAAAAAGCAACAGAAGAGTGAAAAAGAAGAACCTGTGGCCTTTAGTGCAAGCCCTGAGGTCCTCAGCTTGGCACGTGTGGTCCCTCAGAAGGTGGTTCTAATCTCCGCACCTCCGATCTGCAGTGGGAATGGGAGGATGTTACGGAAGAAGAGAATGGATATTGGTGGGGCATCCAGCACTTGCTGCCTCACCTTCTTATTCATTCTGTTTCCAGTTCTGCCAGCGACCAGCTATGGCCGTGCAAAACACACTTCCTTTGGCCTTGTCCCTCAGGTCAATAGGGAAGAAGGTATTGGAGAACTTGTTTAAACTCGTCTCATAAGGAAGTTCAAAATGCTAACTGGGACAGCACTCGGGCTTGGGGCGGGGAGGAGAACCGGAGCCCCACCCACTCAGCCTCCCTTTCACTTTCCTGGGGTTCCCAGGAGCAGATTTTGAAAACTACCCAACTAGATTGGCACCGAGTCCCTTCCAGCAACAAGACTCTAGGAATTCAGGTTTGCTACATTTTGGGAGTAACCTCTCCCTGCCTTGAACCAGGCTGTGCTCTTCCTCAGTGAGTTCCAAAGCAAGCCAAGGAAGTGAGTGTGAGAGGCAGAGTTAGCACTGACTGAGCTCCTACTGGGTGCTGACGCTGTACCAAACGGGATTGAAAAGGACCACAGCTCACTCTCCAAATCCTCACACTCTTCTCTGTTACACGGCCAAGCTGTGAATTGAAAGTAAGCTAATGGACCAGGAGCTGTAACAAAACGTGATGGTCAGTTTGGTGTTATATCCTCAGTATTCTTTTCTTCCTTAACAGTAGGACCTCTGATCTCTCCTCCCACTTCCCCTCGCTGGGCACAGGGATTCCAGCTCAGGTCTTCCAGAATAAAGACTGGATTTCCCAGACTCCTTTGCAGCTAGGAGTAGCCATGTAACTAAGTGCCCCACAAATGGGCTGTACGTAGTGGTGTCATGTAGGACCTATGAGTAACACGTTAGAAGAAATGCCCTTTAACACCCTCCTGTCTGGATTGTGGATATGGAAACTGGAGCTTAGGCAACTACCTTGGGCCATGAAGTCAAAGTAGTATGCTAATGATTGTGAAACACATGGCAGAAGCCCAGGTCCCAACACTGAGGACATAATCCAGTTGACTGCCTCCCTCCAGGCTTTATTTTTGTGAGAGAGGAATAAGCTTTCATCTTTAGGCTACAGCTTCTGTGGATTTTGTGTCATACACAGTCAAACCTAATCCTAACTGAAACAAAGGAGTAATTACAAGAGAATTCCCCCGAAATCTGGCCAAGAATTCTTTGACACTCCCTCCCCTTGAATCAGGACCAACTAGTAATTGATTTGACTGATAGAATATGGCAGAAATGACATTCTAAGACTTCAGAGACACATACAAAGGGCCATGCAACTTGTTCTTGGCATCATTTGTCGTGGAGCACTGAGCTGCCTTGGAAGAACTCCAACTGTCTGGATTCTATCCTGCTGGAGAGGCCACAGGTAAACACTCCAGCTAGGAGTACCAGCTGAGCCCCACCTTCAGCCAGCCCAGGCATGGGACAAGTGAGTGAAGAGGCCAGCACGGAAGGGGATCAGACAGCCCCTAGCCATTTGATAGTCCTCCGCAGCCATTCAAGTCATCTGAGCTGTGACCTCACACAGAGAAGAGAGGTAGCTGTTCCAAACTCCTGAGCCCAGAATCCACGAGCACGTTAGATTGGTGGTTGGTTTCCACTGTGGTGTTTGGGTGTGGTTTGCTGTGCAGCAACAGGTAGTGGGAGCCAATGATGACTTTAATCAACATTTTCTGATCCAGGAATGATTGACTGAACTAGATACTGTGTATTATAGTGAACAAGACAGGTATTTTGAAGGACAATGACAGGGTGCTGGAAGAGCTGATAACGGTCCAATCGGATCTCGTTTAGGGTGTCAGAAGGCTTCTCCGGATCACTATGTTTCCATGGATACAAGAATGCAAAGCAGTAGCAGAGATTTGAAATCCTATCTTAGGTTTAGGAGCTCTGGTAGCATAGTGCCTCAGGCACTTGACTGCTAACCAGAAGGCTGGCGGTTCAAACCCACCAGCCACTCCTCGGAAGGAAGGTTGGGCATTCCTACTTCCGTAGTGATACTGCCTCAGAAACCCAAGGAGGGGTCGCTATGAGTCGGGGCCGACTCGATGGCAAATAACAACAACAACAACATCTTAGGTTCACCTGGAACTCCCTCTGCTGGTAGCAGCTCAGAGGGAAGGCTTTGCAGCTTCTGTGGATAGAAACTATGTATTGGTGGACCCTGGTTCCCCCAGGGGCCAAAGATTTTTATCATTCTTAAGGGAACTACAAGCCCACAAAGGTCAGGAAGCACTAATCTCAGCCAATTCTCTCACTTTGTAGATATGAAGCCATAGACACAGGGCGGTGAGAAGGCCCCGGAGAAGTCAGTGACTCAGGGAGAGTTCGGATCTAACTTGCCATCCTCTTCATCACACAGTCCTGGCTGCTGGTGCCCGCTGAGGAAAGGGGCCTTTCCTGATCTTCTCCCGCAGACAGCAGGAGGGGGCCAGGGCTTGGCGAGGCCAAGTAGCTTCCACCTGCTGCTGCTACCAGGTCTGTGGGCGGTAGCCCCACCCACTGCGCTCAGGGCCCCACTGGCTCCCCCTGCTGGTGCGGAAGGGCGTGTGTGAAAAGAAGGGCGTGGAACTGTGCCTTTTGGCCTCTGTCCACACACCCAACACCACTGGAGACCTGAGATCCGATTAGAAAACAAACAAAGATTACAACTCATAGAATCTTGGATCTGCTCAACAACTGGAATGCTTCCCGAAAGAGGCTCAGTTCATAAAGAGAGTGATGGAATGACCTAAGAAAACAAGTCAAGTCCTAAGAGTTGGGTAAAGGCTGTCACTTCTTGAGCACCCTATGTGTGCTGTAAACTGCTAAGCTATTTTACCATCTCATGCCAAGGTCCCTGGGTGGTACAGATGGGCTGCCCTTGACCACTCACCCAAAGGCTGGCCGTTCAAATCCACCCAGCGGCGCCACAGCAGAAAGCCCTGGCAATCCACTTCCGTAAGCCCACAGTCCCTGAAAACCTTACGGACACAGTTCCACTCTGAAACACGTGCGGGCACCAGGAGTCAGGATCAGCTCAACAGCCACAGGCTTCTGGTTGACTACCTCGTTTCACCCTTGGGCAGTCTCGCAAAGTAGACAGTATGGCCGAGGAGGCTCAGAGAGGTAATGTGACTTATCCAAAGTCACACAACAGGCAGTTGGAGAGCAAGGATCTAAGTTCAGGTCTCCTGACTTCCTGTCCAGGACTTTCCACCACACAACTCATTGTTTGGGGGCTGCGGTGAGACCAAGACGCAGCCTAGCTTAGTGGTTAAAGGCCCAACATCGGCACCCACTTGCCTGAGTACCCTGCCCTTTGGATGTGTTGTTAGTTTTGGGGTCCGATCAGTGCATTGAACACACCATTTATCTCACAGGTTGCTTGACCAGCAAATAGGTGTCTCTAGAAGGCACTTCTGATTTGTTATATTAGCTTCCTTCATTAAAAAAACCCTGAAAATCAAACCAACTGCCGTCAAGTGGATTCTGATTCATAGTGACCCAAAGGGACAGAGTAGAACTGCCCCACAGGGATTCCAAGGCTGTCAATCTTTATGGAAGCCGACTGCCTCATCTTTCTCCCGTGGAGCAGCTGGTGGGTTCGAACCACAGACCTTCTGGTTAGCAGCTAAATGCTTTAATCACTGTGCCACCAGGGATGCCATATTTGGCTTCATAGGGGTCATTATGATCCACATGATAAGGAGCTCTGGTGGCTCAGTGCCTAAGGCATTTGACTGATACCCAGAAGGCTGGTGGTTCAAACCCACCAGCCACTCCATGGAAGGACGACTGGGCAATCTACCTCTGTAAAGATTTACTGCTACGAGTCAGAATCAATTCAACGGCAGTGAGTCTGGTTTTTGGTTTTATGTGGCAATCCAAACATTAGGGGCAAGATGGCCTGTTCAATCAATGATGTCAGAGCAATTTGATAA